ATGGCAAGTGCCTTCGCCCATGAGCGGTAGGTCTCGGGTTCGAGACTTGGGAGCAGCCTCTCCATAAATGGGGGTAAGGCTAGCCGACATTCACCTCTCCTAAACCATGCGTAAAGCGGGAGCCTTGTGCACTGGGTACGACCTTTTTAGTAATGGTAAAACAGTTCCGTAATGTAGTTTGTAAAACTTTGATCAGGACATTGAAATGAACAACAGAAAAGTTAAGGTGCATCATGGTGAGGGAAATTTTGAGCATACCAAATGGAGGGATTTGAAAGTTGGGGATATAGTGAAGGTCGAAAAGGACGAGTTTTTTCCTGCTGATCTTATCTTACTTTCATCAAGCTATGACGAAGCGCTTTGCTATGTTGAGACCACCAATCTTGATGGGGAAACTAATTTGAAACTAAACAAGCACTGGAAGAAACTTCTAATCTGCATGAAGACTCAAGCTTTGAGAATTTTAAGGCGGTAATCAGATGTGAAGACCCAAATGCAAATTTGTACTCATTTGTTGGCACTATGGAGATTGAGGATCAACAGTACCCTCTTACACCACAGCAGCTTCTGCTTCGAGACTCAAAGCTGCGAAACACGGATTTTGTATATGGGGTGGTAATCTTCACAGGTCACGATACAAAAGTTATGCAGAATTCAACAGATCCTCCTTCTAAGAGAAGCAAAGTTGAGAAGCGGATGGATAAGATTATCTACTTCTTGTTTTTCCTCTTGGTTGTGATGTCTTTAGTTGGGGCTATTGTCTTCGGGGTTAGTACTAGTAAAGACCTGGATGATGGGAAAATGATCAGATGGTACCTCAGACCAGATGATACCACAGTTTACTATGATCCAACGAGGGCACCACTTGCAGCAGTTTTGCAATTTTTAACTGCCATTATGCTGTATAGTTATTTGATCCCCATTTCCTTGTATGTGTCAATAGAAATTGTCAAAGTTCTTCAGTGCACTTTTATAAACCATGATGTGCACATGTATTATGAGGAAACTGACAAGCCAGCCCGAGCGCGTACTTCAAACTTGAATGAAGAACTTGGCCAAGTTGATACTATACTTTCAGATAAAACTGGAACATTAACTTGCAACTCGATGGAATTTATCAAGTGTTCTATTGCTGGCACTGCATTTGGGCGCGGAGTTACAGAAGTTGAGAGAGCCTTAGCCAGGAGAAAAGGTGAGGAATTGACAGAAGAAGAGATCCATGCTGAAGAAGAACTGAATGAAGCCAAGTCGATGATAAAAGGCTTTAATTTTATGGATGAAAGGATCATGAACGGAAAATGGGTTAATGAGCCTCACGCAGATGTAATCCAGAAGTTTCTACAGTTACTAGCAATCTGTCATACCGCAATACCTGAAGTTGATGAAGAAACTGGAAGAGTATCATATGAAGCTGAATCACCAGATGAGGCAGCTTTCGTGATTGCAGCAAGAGAGTTTGGGTTTGAATTTTACGAAAGGACTCAAGGAAGCATCTCACTGCATGAATTGGATCCCATTTATGGAAGAAAAATTGAAAGGTATGTTGCATTTCAGTTTAGCGGCTATGATTTATGTTATTCTCAAGCCATTGTCGAATTTTCGTAAATAAATACTTAACTGCATATATGTTCCTTTTTTTCAGAAAATATAAACTTCTGAACATATTGGAGTTTAGTAGCTCAAGAAAGAGAATGTCCGTGATCATAAGAAACGAAGAGGGAAAGATACTACTCCTATGCAAAGGCGCTGACAGGTTTGTAAACTTACTCCTTGCTAGTATAATTAAGTAGCTTGATAATCAGATGAAATTGTGTATGTTGTATCGCGCATTATGTATAATTTGCTTATTCCACAAACAGTGTCATGTTCGAAAGACTTGCAAAGAACGGAAGGGAGTTTGAAGAGAAGACCAGGGAACACATTAACAAGTATGCTGACGCTGGTTTGAGGACTTTGGTACTTGCATATCGCGAACTTGACGAAGAAGAATATGATGAGTTCAATAAAGAATTCACTGAGGCCAAAACCTTGGTGAGTTCAGATCGGGAGGAAATTGTTGAGGCAGTTTCAGAGAAGATTGAGAGGGACTTGATTCTTCTCGGTGCTACTGCAGTTGAAGACAAACTTCAAAATGGGGTGCGTTTTAAGTTTTACCGGTACTGCTCTTTGTTGGAGATTTGTATAACATTCAAGACTAAAAACCATTTTTTTTTCTCTTCTTCTTTTCTGTGCTGAACAGGTTCCCGAATGCATTGACAAGCTTGCTCAGGCTGGAATTAAAATATGGGTTCTGACTGGAGATAAAATGGAAACAGCGATTAATATTGGGTATATGATTAGTTAACAGTTTTGTATCAGAAGATGGATTTCAGTATAAAAACATTTCTCACCGCATACCTTTTCGCTTGTTGTTTCTCTTCCAGATATGCGTGCAGTTTGCTCAGACAAGGAATGAAACAGATAGTAATAAGCTCCGAGACTGCAGAAGCTAAAGCATTAGAGAAGGTGGAGGATAAGACAGCAGTTGCCAAGGTAGCCAAATTTCTTATGCAATATTCTCTTTCTTCCTCTTCAGCTATCTTATGGTGTAATAGGTGATTCAGGCTGTAGTACTGTAAATGGATTATAGACTCCTGTTTTAGTTATTGCATTGGCGCTTAAATCGGACTTTTAACATGCTAGGGTTCGAAATTGTTCTCTCTTGGCTGATAAAATGTCATGCTGTGAGAGTTTAACGAAACCTTGCTGATTCTACAGGCATTGAAGGAAAGTGTAGTCCATCAAATTAGTCAGGGAAAGGCGTTGCTTGCTGCACCAGAAGAGAACTCTCAGGCACTGGCTTTGATCATTGATGGGAATTCGCTTGCTTATGCCTTAGAGAACGATGTCAAGGATCTCTTTCTAGAGCTTGCCATCGGCTGCGCATCTGTTATATGCTGTCGTTCGTCTCCCAAACAGAAAGCACTTGTAAGTTTTTTCCCTTCCCGGCCACTAAATAAGTTCCAACAAATCATTTTGATAGATATATGGTTTTGAAAAGATCGAGTCCTAAACAGTTCTGTTTAACAATAATGCAGGTTGCAAGACTGGTAAAAGATAAAACTGGCAACACAACTCTGGCCGTTGGTGATGGGGCAAATGATGTTGGAATGCTTCAAGAAGCAGATATCGGAGTTGGTATCAGCGGTGTTGAAGGAATGCAGGTAAATTGTTAACAAAATGCACGCATCATCTGTTACTTCCATTTCAAAATTTCTTCCGTTTGATGAATTCTGACTTATCCTTTCTGCCAACCAAAAATTTCAGGCAGTCATGTCAAGCGACATTGCAATTGCACAGTTCCGATTTTTGGAGCGCCTACTACTTGTACATGGCCATTGGTGTTACAGAAGAATCTCATCAATGGTAAATTCCTTTCTTTGTAGAATTCATATAATTAGCTTGTTTATCTCATTTTCCTTGTATTAATCTGTGATACTATTAGACTTCAAAAACTTTGGTTAGTTATATGAAAGCTGACACACACTCCTTCACGCGCAGTCCCATCCTGCACGTGGAGAGAAAAGAAATACAGACTTCTATTTAGAATCTATTGATACAATTGTACTATATGCTATGGAAAATTTGACATACTTCTTTTCTTGTTTGACAGGTCTGCTATTTCTTCTACAAGAACATTGCTTTTGGCTTCACTATTTTCTTCTATCAGATATATGCTTCATTCTCGGGCCAAACTGCGTACAACGATTGGTATCTGTCACTATACAATGTCTTCTTCACGTCACTTCCGGTGGTTGCCTTGGGAGTTTTTGACCAAGATGTCTCGGCCAAGTTCTGTCTCAAGGTAGGCCCTTCTTACCCAAAAAGATAACTGGTGAAAAATAAGAATCTTATTAGACATCAGAAATAGCATATCATCCTATGCTGATCTTTAGTCTCTCTTTGTCTCAATCTTACAGTTCCCGCTATTGTACCAAGAAGGTGCGCAAAACGTCTTATTTAGCTGGCTCCGGATACTTGGATGGGCAATGAACGGGGTGGTGACTGCTACCCTAGTCTTCTTCTTCTGCGTTGTGGCAATGGGCAGTCAGGCCTTTCGTAAAGGCGGGCAAGTTGTTGGCTTGGAAATCTTTGGTGCCACGATGTACTCATGTGTGGTATGGGTCGTCAACTGTCAAATGGCGCTGTCCATCAACTACTTCACTTATATACAACATCTCTTCATCTGGGGTGGCATCATATTCTGGTATATATTCCAGTTGGCATATGGAGCCATTGACCCCGACATATCAACCACCGCCTATAAGGTGTTCATTGAAGCCTGTGCACCGGCTCCGTTTTATTGGCTTCTCACACTGTTTGTTTTGGTCACTTCCCTCCTGCCATACTTCACTTACGCAGCCATCCAAATGCGGTTTTTCCCCATGTATCATCAGATGATACAGTGGATAAGAACAGACGGGCAATCAGATGACCCCGAGTTCTGTCAAATGGTGCGGCAGAGATCCATAAGAAGCACAACAGTAGGTTACACAGCCCGCATCGAAGCAACATCTAAACGCTTTGTAGAGAAGCCCGAAGGTCATTAATTAGTGGACATGTTTTGACATCCCTATTATAAGAAACGTACATTATTCCAGCAAGAAGTTTCTTCTCTTCCTTCCAATTTTTTCGCTTAGGATGGTTCGGTTTCTAGAACCTCCAAAGATCTAGCTTCAGTGTTCATGCAGAGAATAGTATAGTCAAAATATTGTATCATGTATGATGTATCAGATGTATCATACCGCACAATATTCAGTTCATTCAATTCTATAAGTTCTTTTTTATTCTCCTTCTGCTTACAACTGATTCAGTATTTCATTCTTCTCGTCGTCCCAAATCCAAGAAAGGTAAACTCACAAGTACCGCAGTTCAACGAAGGTTGAAACGATGCATTTCTGCATAAAACTCGTTCTGTTTCTGTATTTTGTTAATCAAAAGATGATTGCAGTTGGGGGGTTTCTGGAGTTTTCTCCAATTGCAACCTTCTTCCTATTCCACATGGAGGTTTCAACGAATGTATTCTTTATACAAATCCAATGAAGGATTAGCGTACATTTGAGACGCTTCTAGAAGCGCTAAAAGCATTTTCTAACAATAAAAAATGCTTGCAGTGAAGCATACATAAAACTAACAGCAACAAAATACAACAATTAATGAAATGTATTAAGAAAATAAATAGTACTCTGATTATTTAGTTTTGTGGTTAGAAATTAAACAAAATCATATCAAAATCTACATTGTTTGCTTGGAAAATTCAATAGAGATGAACATGTTACAAGGCCAAAAAAACTTGGCATGTATCATCAGATTTCTATCCAAACCTCAGGTCATGAGGGAGCAAGGCCTAGAAAACTCGATGCCGATTTCGCCATTATTGTAGAAAATTCATTGAAGCTAATGACACCATCTCCATCCGTATCAGCCTCTTTGATCATCTCCGTCAGCTCCTTATACGTCAACGGTTGTCCCATTTTCGCCATGGACCCTGCCAGCTCTGCCGCAGTTATGTACCCATTACCGTCACGATCAAAAGAGCGAAAAACCTCCAAGAGTTGCTCTTGGTTTACCAAAATCTCCTCGTTCATATCGGGCAATATGGCACTGACCAACTCGTCGAACTCCACGGAACCATTGCCGTTTGCGTCCATGTTGGCTAGGAGGACGTGGATTTGGTCCCCCGAGGGCTTAAGGCCGAGCGAGCGGAGGAGAGCGGCAAGCTCCAAGATGGTGAGGCTGCCGTCAGAGTCCATGTCGAATCTGGCAAAGATGTCTCGTAGCTGGTTGAGTTGATCAACTCGTAATGCAGGCATTAGGGTTATAAATATTGTAACGAAAAATGTGACACAGTATGCACAACGTTATGAGAATGTAGGTTTTGTAGCAGAATGCGGCAATATTTGGCGTTAGGAGGTGGTTGTGGCGGCGGAGGAGATGAAGGTGGTGGTTTGATTTGGTGCGTTTAGAGAGAGAGAGGTGATGTTTTGGGTGGTGAATGGAAATTTGAAGGCTAAATATGGTGTTGGGGGAGACAACTAAGGACTGGAAAATGAGTCGGTGGTTTCTTTTTGGCCTTTTATGTCACACGCATATGGAATCATTGGATTGGAAGGCTTCTAGGAAGGAAGCTAAATTTTGGCATTTTCTTGGGGTTGATTAAATTTTGGCCAATTGACTTGCACGTATTCTTGGTAAGAATTGAAGAGTACAATATAATTATTTTATTTTAAAATTTTTGCAAGTCTCTTGACGCAACAGAAAAGTTTTATTTTTGTGATCGAAAAGTCACGGGTTGTGGAAACAACCTCTTTGTAAAGTAAGAGTAAAAATGCATACAACAGACTTTCTCCCCAACCCTCGCAAAGCAGAGATACTTGTTGGCTTGAGGTCACCTTTTTTTTAAGATATCTGTACTATTTTAAAGTATTATGATAAGAGTGACAACATAGTTTTTATGTTGTATCTTTAGATTCTCATATTTAAAAAAAAAAATTAATCTGTGGTAATTTACATAACACCACGTGAGTGTGTTTCAGTTAAAAGAAAAACTTCTCATATTGTCAAAGCAGCTGAATTAAGGGAAAAGATAACATTAAGGAGTGAAGCTGATGAGGTATGTGCAAGGCTGGATCCATGCATGCAAGTCAAACCCCCAGTTTTTGTCCTTAGTAACACTGTCAACCATGATTCGCATGTACAGCTCAGTTGAGGTGTCTTGGTAACCTTCAACCCTGCTTCCAAACCAATAAAACGTACAGAATTAGCATGAGATTTCAGATTTTGTGGAGAATTAGACGAGTAGAATTAAGCTTTTGATAGAACGTAACTCATTTTTTACTCAAAAAATAGTGATGGATTTTACTCTATGTAGTTTCTCGAATAGTTTTCTGCAATGGTGTCTATCAAAATTAGAATATAGTGAATCAACATTTTATGCTAAATATTATACATGATACCTCCTAAGAAAAAGAATATTGTACATGATATGAATCAATTTCTCATTAATTATTATGTGACCAAATTCAAGAACCTTAAGAATGCTGTAGATTAATCTCCCAATTAGAACATTACATCTTCAAAATATACAATCAATCATTTTGGGGAGGAACTTCATGATCACCTTCTTTAACCCTAGCATCACCTTTCTTTTCTTGACCAAGATCCATGACCATCACCTTTGATCCAACTTCGACGTCATGATGAGCAACCATGCACTGCAGCTGCCGGCACTTGCGCTTCAACCACCCAAAACAGCCGATTCTATCACTGATGCTCTCCACCGGGGTCGTTACCATTTGATCACGAGTGAGCCTCGGACCCGCACGAGAGAAATGCGAGGACGGTTAGGACAGAGATCACTGCAAAGAATGGCCCAATGGAACCCGAAGAAGAAGAAACTATAATGGTACTGCTTGGGGAATAGTATTACTACTGTTACTGCTACTACCAGTACCACCACCCAAGATTTGATCTCCTGCTGGTTCAGGTAGTGTTGGTGATGTTGTTTCCATGGCTATAGAAATTATAGAAGCATATAATTCAAGTTGCATTTGATAAACCTAATGATTCTACATGCTCTCCACGTCAGCAATCCTTGTCAACTCAGCAAACACAGTCCGCATTATATGGTTCCCGCTCAACTACTCCACAACAGAGTTTGGATAACACACGTCTTCAACAGATTGAGAAGAATCACAGTCCTCCTTCAACATGACTCTATCATCACCGTGTATCTTGGCTTTCTGTTATGTATTTTTGTAATTTGAATTCCATTGTAATCTTGATAACAGATTCATTGTAATCTTGTAAAGCCTACATATAATGAATTGAGTTGAGCTTATGCAATCAGTCTCTAAAACCCTAGTTTAAACTCTTTCAGCATTTAGATGCAAATATATAGCAGCAAATATATATATATATATATATATATGTATGTATGTATGTATGTATGTAGTACAAATCTAATGTATGATTTTGGTGGCCATAACTTCACTGCATATATATATATATATGTATGTATGTATGTATGTATGTATGTAGTACAAAATCTAATGTATGATTTTGGTGGCCATAACTTCACTGCATGCATGTATGAGTGGAAGCCAACATGGACAGAGGCAAAAGCAGTGACTTTTCTTTTCATCTCTTTTTATGGGCTTATCTTCTTTTTTACTTTGAGGATGTGGAGTTTTGCTTTACCTTTTAGTTTTGAGATTCCTTAAAATTTCTTATCCATCAAGTTAACTTAATGATTAATACAAAGGACAAGTCACTTTCTTTGTTTGGAAAAAATTTACTAAAATTACAGATCTTGTTTCATTTTGTCCTTGGAGCTTTCAATTTGGCTTTAAACTTCATCTGATCGTTAGTTGGTCAATTATTTCATCAAATTGAGGATTATTTTGGTCCACTTTGTGCAATAGAAGTCTCTGAATTTAGTGCAGAAGTATAATTCTTTGTGTTGATTCTTAATATAGAATGCACTTGTGGAAGTCAGGAAAAATCTTTGAGCAAGTGAAATTCGTGAAGTGTAGTTCAATTCGTTATTAAGATGACACAATAATGATGAAATAAAAAAAATAACTCCAAATAATATGTAGCTCCCATAGAAAGAGAAAACTTCCTTGTCCATAGAATTTCACTAATCACGTGAGGTAAGAAAAATTGAGACCATATTTCAAATATAAGTAAGTTATTTTCCAATATGAGTACTTGTTCTTGATAGTTTAGAAATGCTGGAACTTGATATTTTAGATTTAAGTCCCAACCCAGCCTCGATGAAAACAACTTAAAGTTGGAGAGATTTTTCAGTGTGATCGGAACATGAAGTGATACATCACTTGTTATTATACAAATGATGAGATATGTATGTTAAAAAGTTACTAATTTAAAAATTAAAATTTATTACCACTAATATAAAAACAAATGGTGTAGCATTTATATTCTAATCATAATGAAAAATTTCTCGATCCATTGGGTGACTTTGGGGTAGAACCCATATGCTAATTGGTCTGTATGAGCTTCGGTCCTTGATCCTCATGGACGAATCTGAGCTGTGGACACTGGACTGCATTCTTGATGGATTTAACATTAATGGACGGCAAAGATTACACTCGAATGTGGTCCTTCCTTCTATGTTCATAAAACTCAATTTACCTAACTACAACACGATTAACACTTTTACTAATATTATATCAACAAAATATCACATTTTCTCATATAGATATGAAATTTGAGTTATTAAATTATTATATTTTTCTATCGTTTGTGTGTTTTCAAGTTTGGGGTTGACACAAATGAGTTTAAATTTTCTACGCTCATTTTATATGTAGTCTCTATTCTTAATTGATCAATGCTAATGAACATAACTCTCATAACTTTGTTGTTATAAACTTAATACGTATCATTCAATGACAAATACCACGCCATGCACAAAAAAATACATAAGATAAGATTTGATCTCGCCACAAACGCCTTATGATAACTGGATTTAAAAACTCAAAAAATAAACCCAAGAGTCGAAAAATAAAAATAAAAACGTGCCACTTTATAGCTTATCAGTAAATTCGTTCATGACAGTACGACATCCCGTCCGTGACTTACTAAGTTACTAACAAACTCATGAGTGAGAGAGAGAGAGAGAGAGAGACTGTGTGTGTGATGCTGATGCGATTCTCCGGATTCCTGGGTTCGATCCGTTTCTCTCTCTCTATAAATACATGCATCAGCGTATGTATGTAAGTATATATTATTATTGTAGATAATGTTGCTGTGAGATCTCTCGTTTCTGAGATCTACGGGTGGTGGTTGACATGGATTTGTTTTGTTATTATTTTTTTTTATAAAAATAATTACTTGGTGGGGTGGGAGTGCACTGGAGGCAGCGGTTCATCGATCTGTTTATGAGATTTTGTTGTGAGTAAACACAGTTCATGAATCGGTCGATAAACCTCTGCATCCAGCGCTCACTCTCCCATTCTTCTCTTTATTTATTTTTAATTTTTTGCTGGTATTTCTGAACTTGTTCTGTTTGGTTGCTGAGAAAGTGTGGGAAAATATGGTAAAGACTGGAGTTTTGGTGTTTTTCCGAACTTCTGATCGGAACCCAGAAGGCAAAAAGCTTGTTCATTTTTTTTAGAAGGTAAATAAAACCAGATTTGTGGGTGAATTGCGTTTAGTATTTTGTTTGTATGTGCTATTGGTGGTTGACTGCAGCCTGCAGGGAGTTAAATGGCAAATTAATCATTTATCTAGATTATGGTTTTACTTTCCTGAATTCTGAACTTGAAAATACATGATCTATGACTATGACGAGAAAAAAGAATTTTACTGTGCCGAAAACACAGCTCGCTAAACTGACATAATAATATTGGTTGAATTTTTTTTTTCAAGTATCTAATCACTTGTATTATGACCTTCATGTATTGACCGTGTTCCCAACCAATTGAACAAACTCTTGATCTATGACATCCTTTTGTTTTTAAAGTTTGAAGCTTTATATTTTATTTAATTCTTAATTACTGGTTGTAAATTTTATATTTACTATGTTGGTTAACAGAACATTGAGTATTTGGTATATGCGATGAGAATTGAGATGATTGAATTTTGGACTATAAATCTACCTTTCGAGATGAGCTCATGTGTTGTTTTGTGTTCCAGTGTTAGTTGCTTCGGGTGCAGAAAATTGAGTTTATAGTGTTCATCAGTGTGACTGTCTACGATGCATGGACATGGTGGTATCCCCTCGTATTCTCGTGTCATGTCGTAATTTTTTGTGGTCATACAGCAATTCTTCTTGTTAATTGGATGTATCTCTGTGTCGTGTCTCCGTGTCCATGCATCGTGGGTGATTAATATTATGATGGCGAAACCGATAGTATTGATTGTGGACTTCGAGTTTCTCTATCTATTAGTTCAATGATACCAAACTGATGTGCTTCTCATACCTGCATAAGATGGTTTGTGCTGAATTAATTGGTTAGAATTCGTTTTTCGGGGGCTGAATTTTGTTTTCAACCGTCTTTCCGATCGATCTTGTTCTTTTGCTTGAACATGAATTTTAGGTGTCCTGTTCTTGACTTGTTCATTCCCTTTTGCTAGAATTGATGTTCTTGTTTATTGACTTTTATATTGTTCAAAACATTTTGCTTCCATATAAGTTTAATTCTTTTGTATTATGGAATTAATTTTCCCTGTTTCCGCTCGTAATGTATCACACGATGTTCTTAATCGTTGGATTATTTCCTAATCATGTATGCATGGATCATAGTAAAATCTTTCTAACACATTTACTTTTACTTTTGGCTTTTTTGTGAAAGAGCTGAAGATTTGGCTGTAATAAAGAAGGGGAGTATATTCTTTTCTTTCATTATTTTTGGTTAAAAGGAGTTACAATCCAGAAACTAACTCATTTTCTGTTCCCTCTTTTGTGTTTGCTGCCACCATATACGGAGGTTTCGTAATATGCTCGGAATATCTTGTACACTGGGGTTTTCGCCATTAGATTGTTGGTCAAGTATCCAATAATCTAGATCAGGCCAAAATTTTCTATATTTTTTTATACACCGGAAGATAGTAGAATTTTCGTTATATATGATATTCGTGGTAATTAATTGGCTTCCAAATATGTCATTTTATTGAGCAGGTGGTCTAAAAGTTTGAACTTGTTTCTCTCTCTTCCAATGGAAAAAAAAGAAGTGCCTTCTGAAAGAGAGTTTGCAATTGGAAAACACAACGTCGTTGTCGTGACTGCATGTAGAATCTGCATGTAAGTGAGAGGAAACTGCAGTTCTGTGGAACTACCAAGTTGCCAGAGAATCTTCTATGTTTGATGTTTACATGTAGAATCTGGTATCAAATTCCTTGTACCAAAGTTATCGGATTGTGGAAATTTTGGTTGAGTATAGAGTAGGATAATGTTATTAACCTCTGTACATTCTCTTCAGTTCCCTCTTTTTGAGTTGAGATCCTCTCCGGATCTCATTGTACGGAGTCTAAGGACCAGCAAATTCGGATTGTTCAAGAGAGTGAGATTTGGGCCTTGGTTTGTGTAAGGTGCCCCAGCAGAATAAGTTAATAGGAACTGTCAGATTCAATTTGAGTGGTTCAGATTTTCAGACAATGAGATCACGAGAAGATCTCAACCTCTTCTTTGATTCTATTGGAATTCTTATGAAAATTTGCAAGTTTGTATTCCTTTGCCATTTTTGTAAACTAATCTGATATGAGCAATTGTTCTTGATTAATAGCATGTTTCTGGTTTTATCCAATATATTAGTTAATTCTACGTAGTTTGCCCTTTGCTTTATTTGTCAAATACTGTTTAATTTTACATGCAAAGTGTCAATGAAAACGAAGTATATTAACTTTGTGGCTATGGGCGGAGGCAGCATATGTCTATTTGGGCAACTATCTCCAATCAACGTCTTTTGCAATAGAAGATTGCTCTAACTAAAAATATAAATTACCCTTTCACCTTCTATACTTTTTTTACTTTCTCACCCTTCCTAAACTCCATTTACCCAAAATTTTGACGTTTTAAACACCAATTATCTAAAATCATGTAGTTGGACAATAAATTGACAAAACCCAATGTAAAACAAACACTTGTTTGATTTGTTTCTTTGAATTTTGACGAAATAGTTTTGGGGGGATGATAATGAAAAGCACATTAACGCTGGCTATGATGCCGATAAGGATTTCCAATTTGTCGTGTATATTAAGGAAAGGTAAGACAAGACATCAACTGAACATCACTTCCAAACTTCACATTGGGGAGATAAAGTTGAGTTGTTCAATGCTCCTGAACCCCAACCGGCCCCCACGTTGGGCGGATGCTCCGTGCTTGTGGAGTGACACATTGCATATCGAAAAAAAGAGAGTGAGGTGACGTCCCTAGCTAAATGGTTTGATATTATAACAGCCCGTTCATATCTTCTGCTCAAATTCATTGCCTTTGGTTTTATCTATCGAATATTGTTTAATTCTTACATGTATAGAGTTGTTCAAAACGAAGTAGATTAACTTTGTGGCCATAGATAGAGGCAGCTGTCCTCAATAAACTTCTTTTGCGATGAAAAATTGCTCTAACTAAAAATATAAATTACGCTCTCACGTTCTATACTTTTCCTACTCTCACTCTTCCTAAACATCAGTTACCCAAAATTTTAGCGTTTTAAACACCAGTTACCTAAACCCGCTGCTGGTGTGGAAGCCTGATTTGTGATTAGGGAGAGACTAAAATGTCTCTTAAATCTTTCCGGAAGAAGGGATGGCTTGCCATCAATTATCCTCATTTTTGAAAAAAAGAAGGGAATTTTCAATACAATTTCATTATTCAAAGTTGCCCTTAATAAAATGTTACTGCCTCCGTTCATATTTGCGTCCATGCTTGCATCGTGCTGATATGTTAGTAACAAATATTGATCGAACCAAAATTCAAATTAAAAAAAAAAATTCCAGGTACGAACGAATATTTAACCCAGCTAATCATTACATGACCAAAAACAAAAATCATATATCATACGAAGGAGTCTTTTTCGTCGCACTACATTATTAAAAATTAGAAACAACATATTATGAACTCTAATTTGTCATGAGGCCACAACTTTAAAATACTCGAAACTCTAGTTTTCTCGAGTTTATGCTTATCAAGCTACTCCATATATAAACAGGTTTGTTGGCTATCAATCTCTTCGCGCGACGGTGACATTACACCCTGGGCAAGTAAGTCTTTTCCACAAAGCAAATCACATGTATCATGCAAGGATCTGGTTTCTGTGCTCTCCCACTTCCCATACACTCGCATTCCTTCTTATTTGTATGGTCACGGTTAAGCCAAGTCAACATTTTATATTACTATTGTTTTTTGTCTTATTATCTTTATAAAAAAATCAAGGGATACTTTGGATGCGGTCCCTAGCTATCAGTATTCTTGATTGAAACCTTGTTAGTTTTTAGTTTTTTATTGAGGTCCCTAACATTAATGTAATAATGTAAGTTACTATATTTTTTAAATTAAAAATTAAAAATTGAAATTTGTAATTGTTTATATTAATGAGATTTTAAACAAAACCCATAATTTATGGGATTAAAAATAATAAAATATAAATTATACTCTCTATTATATTGTGTGTGTGTGTGTGTGTACATATATGTATGGGTACATTATCCAAAATTAACAAAAAAAGTTATTGTACCAAAACATGGATACATTCTCAAATCAATGAAAAAGAATGTACCCATATAAGTTTAAACATGGATTAAAAAATTTGAATGGATTTTATATTAAAAAATGGTACATTTTACATATAACAAATTGATATATATGAGAATGGGTACATTGATGATTAAAAAAATTGAAAAATTATATGAATGGGTACATTTAAGATTAAAAAATTGAGAATCTTTATATATATATATATATATATATATATATATATATATATAACTAATAGGTACAAACTTAATTTAATTTAATTTTTTATTATTTTGAAAATGTTTGAATTGAAAATTAATTAGAAGTTTAATAGAGGTGTGAGTATTAAACCCTAAATTAATTACTAATTTTTATATTAAAAAATTATATAATAAACATGTAAATTCATTATTACATTAATGCTAGGGACTTGAATCAAAATTTGAGAACTAATAAGATCTTAGTCAATGAACAGTAAGAACTAGGGACCGGATACTAATTTTTCCAAAAATCAATATAAAATATTGACGTGGCTTAATCGTGACCGTACAAAATAGGAGGAGATGAGAGTGTATGGAAAGTGGGAGGGCAGAGAAGCCGGGTCCAATCACATGTATCATGCAAGGACCTGGCTTCCCTGCCCTCCCACTTCCCATCCCCTTCTATTTTGTACCGTCACGATTAAGCCACGTCAAGATTTTATATTGATTTTTTTTTATATAGAGATAATAAGACAAAAAATAATAGTAATATAAAATATTAACGTAGCTTAACCGTGACCGCACAAATTTAAGAGAATAAGAATGTATAGAAAGTGGAAGGACAGAGAAGCTAGATCCGTCATGCAAACCCAAACCCAATATAAAACAAACACTTGTTTGATTTGTTTCTTGAATTTTGACGAAAAAGTTTTGTGGTGATGGTAATGAAAAGGACATTGAAGCTGGCTATGATGACGATAAGGATTGCCACTTCGTCATGTATATTAAGGAAAGGTAAGACAAGACATCTACTGAACATCACTTCCAATCTTCACATTGAGGAGATGAAGTGGAGGGAATAAAAGGGCTCTTGCATGTGAGAAAGATTCTGTTGTCGTGTATCGAACAAATAATTTACTTCTTGAACACGTAACATTCTATTAAACGAATAATGTTACGGGTATAATATTTTAGTTGCAAGAGAGAATCTGGTTGCGTGCACTTAGAGAATTAATTTGTTAAGAGGTATTCATCAATTCCCTTCCTGAACTTGTGACCATTGGCCAATTTCCCCCCTCAACTTTAATTTTGGCCAATTTCCCCCATCAACTCTCATAATTAGTCAATTTCCCCCCTCAACTATAATTTGGCCAATTCCCCCCCTCAACTCTCATAATTAGTCAATTTGCACCCTATTGTTAATTTTTTTTAATTTTCCATCTATTTTTTTTTTCTTTCAATTTTTCTAATAACTTCCAACAAAGTACTAAAATTAACATAAACTCACCTGCATAATATAGGGTAAAATGTACAAAAACATAATACAATTAGGATGTGATATGGGTTGATTATAAGAAAAAGTTATGAACCGGGTTTAAAGCATATAGAAGAAGAAATAATAATCCTAAACTCATGGATCAGACCTATTTCAATAAAATGGGTTATTCTTAATAAGGAGTCGAAAATTATGAATTGACTAGCCATTTTTGCACTAAAGCTCGATTCTCCGCAATTTACTTGAACTTAGCTTTCACTTTTATAAAGAAAATTGTATTCACATACAAAAATGTACACATCAATCCTTTTCGTTATCAATTTTGTATAGTAAAAAATCAAATAAAATTACTCCATACTGATTTATTATGACTAATAATACTATCTATGATAAATTGTAAAATTCTAAATTTTAATCTATTTGTAATAGGATAAAGACATAGGAAAATGATTAACATACATCTTATTTAGTTTCTTACACACACTTGTTTAATTATGATCAAATTAAAAAATTAACAGTAGGGTGCAAATTGACTAATTATGAGAGTTGCGGGGAGAAATTGGCCAAATTAAAGTTGAGGGGGGAAATTGACTAATTATGAGAGTTGAGGGGGGAAATTGGCCAAAATTAAAGTTGAGGAGGGAAATTGGCCAATAGTCACAAATTTAGGGGGGAAATTGATGAATACCTCATTTGTTAATTATGTGACTAGTTTTTTTAGATATTAGGCTATTTCTATAGACAGAATAATCATGCACTTCATGCCTTCGGGCATGAAAATTGAAATCGACACATCAAATGTCGGAGAGGGACGTCACACCATTACAATTACACACCAGTAGCCTTTGCATGTGTTTTCTTCTCAATTTCATTTCATGATGACTCAAATTAAGATGAGAAGCTTCAAACGTTCATTTTGGTAAATACATTTTGATTTCTAACTAGAGGGAATCAAATTTTAAATGTATCCAGGGCGAGTCTTGAGGGTAGTCAATAATAAATTAATATAATAAACCTTGTGTCTGCTCAATAAGAAGAGTTTGAGTTTTTTATTATAGAATTTTGTTAATTATACTAGTTATAATTGTCTCTGCAAAAAGAAGTTTTTCAAAGTTAAAGTTGATTAAATCTTATCTTTGATTAACTATGTCACAATAAAAATTGAATGTGTTAGCTATTTTATCAATTGAAAAAGAATTGGTTGAAAAATTAGATTATGTAAACTTAATTAGTAAATTTGCATCTAAAACATGAGACTTATAATATTTAAGTAATATTTCTACATCTTTCTTCTTTTGATATAAACTTTAATTGATTTTGATGTAGAAATAAAAAATTTCATGTATTTAGCAATTTCTTTTTAGTACATAACAAAGTACAAAAGGTTGGAGATAAAAAAACTTTAGGATCCCACTTCGAAGACTCGCTTTGAACACCTAAATCCTCAGGACCGACCCTGAATGTATCGTATTTTGATTCTATTTTAGATGCCCCAAGAGTAAGACGAAATACATATATTATGATTATGATAGGTTTACGGTTTCATTCTCCATCACTTGAGCTAATCCTAAAGACTTGTGGCATGCATTGAGTTTT